ATAAGATACTGGAATATTAATTACTGAATACAGGCTTCCTTTTACAGAGAAACTAAAGATATTTAGGACCATTAATAAATACGTCTGGCACCACACTGAGACATTTTCTATAAGGAAGCACCTGTTTTTAGAATTAAAAGTAGTATTTATAAGTCTGCTGATCTAAGGAATGCTAACGGAAAAGACAGTCCAAAATTGCTTACTTCTAAGGTTTTCAAGAGTTGAGAATTCTAAGTAAAATATGCAATTAAAACTGCTAAACATTGATAAGAAAAACATTTTGTGTCCAAGGAAAAAGGTATGAGGAGTGGAAACGCATTTAGTTAAGGGAAGTGAGGAAAGTCATTTTGTCCTAACGACATGAAAGAGAAAGCACAGAACAGATCTGAAGGCAAAAACGATGTCATAGAAGGTTTGCTGAAAAGGAAATCGAGAAGAGTTTTGTGTATGGTTAGGATTTGGTAAGGTTAGACTGAATTTAAATAAGTGAATGAATTTTGTTATTAAAAATAAGCTGATGCAGGACTGGAGTGTGGTCTGCTTCTCTGTTCAGAGAACAAGGTTTTCTCAGAATACTATTTTTGATAACAGACTGTGTAAGTTCTTACAAAGTTATCTTTTTATTCTGACACTTTTGCAAAAATGCTCTGTCTTCCAAAAGAGTCACAGGAAGGACTTTTTGACAAGTATAGGTTTCTGACAACTTTCAAATCATACTGCTGGTAAGAAATGTAGGAATTCTAATGAAAAACCTGATGGTCTCACAAAACTTAACAGAAGATTAAAATCAAGGATTAATCACACAGGACTGAGTGAACTGATGAATATGGTCATACTATTTTTAGTTTTTGGTTAAAATATTACTGGTTTTTAATGTGTTTTCCAGATACAAAAAAAAAAAAACCCAAAAAAACTTTCCCCTCCAGCTAACTATGACTTACAGCAATTTGGTAAATTATACCTTTGTAAGGAGAATCGAAACACTCATCTACCTTTTCTCTCTACCTGATCGCTGCAGAAATTGGTAACTCTTAGGTTCCAGCAGCTTTATCCAGTAAACAAGGAAGGACCCCTACCAGGTGCAGGAATCTCAAGGTGTTTTGGAGACCTCAAAAAGAGAGGAATTCACTCCAATCTACAGATACTGCAGGCAGAACATGTGGCAAGCCCCTGGTGTATTTTCCTGGCCTTGAGAGGTTCAATCCAAGATTACTTATGACAAGTTCCAACAGAGCCAGTTTAAGAGTCTAAGTGGTCAATTAGGCAGACTTATTTTGCAAACAGATTAGTTTTAATTTGGCTGTATTTCGTAGAAATGAGGGTAATTATAGAGATTAAAAGTTTATGTTTCGGTGGACATTAAATTCTAGTTTTAATTAAGGTTTTTGTATTTACTGCCTAAGACTCACTTCTCAGATGTCTCCTTGTTATGTTATATTATTGTAATGTTTAATTGGATTGTTAAAATGACCCTCTTAAGTTTGTTTCTGAAGCTTATCACAGCAACCTCTCTTTGGATGAAGATCAGATTTGCCATGACTGGCAACCAGGAGATTATGTGTACTGGAAAAGACATGAGATAAAAGACTCTACAGCCATGCGGGACAGGACCCTATCAGGCCCTCTCCTGGACGAACTATAACCCCTGTTGCTGACACCTGACCTTGACTAACTAGCACTACCAGACTAGGACGAGAAGACAACAACATCTGAAGTAGATAGCTGACCCAAGATGCTGGTCCAGGCCTGTATAATATTACTTTGACAACTGCTCACACTTTTGCTTATGAACCAAATGTCTATCTTCCCTGGGCTCAATCATTTGCAAGTTTCAAAAATTCAATCCAGTTGCTGGGTTTGTGGCAATTACCTATGTCCAGTACTCCTAGGTTTCCTTGCTGGATTTCTCCTCTCCAGAGTGCTAACTGGATGGTCCTTATTTTTTGAAGAAACTCTAGCACTGTGCAAGCTACCACCCGTATCACTAAGTGAGATTCTCACCTGGACAATTAATGACACCTGTTCTGAACCTGGCTATAAATACTCCTTTTCACTAGATGTTAAATATTATGTATCTCCTAAGGGGACCCAATGGACTTATGGAACAAGTTTATGGCCTTGGCTCTCCCCAGGTTGTTTAGAAATAGTGCAATTGGTTTCCCTTCGGCTCAAGGTCACCTCTGGGTAGCCTTCGAAATAGCCCCTGCCCATCTGCCTTTAATGCTAGTATCCTGGGTTTCTATCAGTTTTCCAACGGTATGACCGTTTGGCTGAGATATCTGTTACTTCATAACACAAATGAAGAGTCAAATTTCCACTTTGAATGATCCTCTTCCCAGTTTAGGAAAAATACTAGGAAAATGGTTTGGTTTAGGAGGATCCTGGCTTAAACCTTTACCAATGACATTATTACTCCTATTGCCAATTCTGACTGCATACATAGTTCTCCATAAATTAATGAGCATGCACAATGCACATGCAAAAGATAATCAATTCCAGACAACTTGGAATTGACCATTAGTGCTTGCCAGACATCTACTCTCATAACTCCCTAAAAGGAAGGAATCAGGCTATTAAAACCTGATACCAAGGGACCTGATGGACCCAGGGCAGGTAAGCAGCCACCATGGAAACGGGGGACCAAGTATTTGATCCTTAGGAGACAACTTTCCTTCTTGATCTTGTAAGGGGCCACACTGACCCATGACCCACTATTCACTTTGTACACTTAGATCTGGATTGTGTAAGCTGTCAGTAATATGTCATCTGATGTATAATTCTTTGTCTCAAGAATTTATATAACCATGCTTTGATCTCTAAGGGGCAGAAGAGCCCTCAGAACTTTCTGAAAGACCATCTCCAGATTGTAATCCTCCTCAGGTTGGCTGGAATAAAGTTAGGGTAGAGGAATATTTCTTCTGGACAGCATGCATTTTCCTACTTCTTGGGTAGGTACCATTATCCTAATTGATAAACAAAGCCCTAGAAAAATTCAATACCTTGCCTAGCACTACACAATCAGCAGCAAAGGTGGGATGTGAACCCAGGTATGCCTTCTTCCAAATTTGTGCCCTTAATACTACATTCTGAGAGGCAACACAAAATGGATTCTCATTTTCTCAATAAGAATCTGGATAAGGCAGAACTCAGTGGCAGAAAGAACACTGGCCTGAGATTCAGAAACCCAGACTCTAGTTAAGATCTGCCACCTTGACCATTGATTAGTTTACCACTCCAAATCCAAATTTTCCCACCAGTAAGATGCCAGAGTTGAAATACATCTGTGAGATGCCACCTTCCTATATTGTGAAAGCAAAGTTTTAATGTGAACATGCAATGGCACCTTAAACAGAAAGGAATTCACAGATTTGCCAGAAACTGAGTAAAAGATACAGTACACATACAGTTTACATGGAAGGGATCAAGAGCCTTTCTTCAAGACACAGTGTATCTGTGCACCTCAGCATTCGAATGGCCTATAACTCAGTGAATGCCCCCAAATGGACTTAGCATCAGATACACAGTACGGAAAACCCCTTTTCATTTTTATAACCCTCACTGAGTTACCTAACTGCCTTATTCCAGAAGTCAGTTTGTACAGCCAAGGAATCAGGACTCTTTCTGGGTTAGCACAGGTATGAAGAGTAGTCTCACTCTTTTCATTCCTTTCAAGAAGTGATACATCTCAATGCAACTGGGCATCTTTACACACTAAATGTTACTAGTCCTATTATTAATTCTTCTCTGATAGTGAGAAGACAACTGTACTTTAAACCAGAATATATGTGCCAAAAGAAAGAGAAAAAAGTTACACTGATTATGAAGTACTTTATCATAGTTTATTTAATAACGATGACAATGTGCTGTGTTGGTGTGGCAGGCAGTGCGCTTTGTCTTTTAAGGGAATTATCTCATTTGTTTTTCATAACAATTCATTAAATCTACGTAAGACCTACCAGGTGGGCAAGAATTTCCATCTATCACAGATGAAGCCAGTAATGAAAAAAATGGCTAGTTGGCTCTAGACCAACCAAACTCTTGGAAACTATGCTTTGGTGCCTTGGAGAGGAAGTATTATTCCCATTTTAGAGAAAAGAAAGATGAGGAAGAAATTTGATCTCTTCCTCAGAGCCAAGTGAGTAAGTGGAAAATTCAGCCCTCTGATTCTGGGTTAATGTTGACTTAATCCACTGCATTTCCCGTTTCGCTACAATGTTTCCTTAATATTAAACCCTTACGTTTGTTTACAACCGTTCTCGAATTAAAATTTAACCACCTTGTGAGGGACGACCATTTCTAACTTACAGACGATGTCAGGAGTGATCACAACAGGTAGATAAATTACACGTGACAAGTTTTGGGAACTGGAATTTAAATTACTCCTTGAGATCTTGTTCAATTCAATTTAAAATTCCAGAAGTAAAAAAGCAAGCGTCTTCTATGTTGAGGAGGCATGGGTCAATGTCACTACTAGTAAGTCGCTGCCTCTGATCGTCTCAGTGTATCTCCAGCACAGCCTGGAGCACTTTTGCTTTCATCTGTATTACAGCTTTTTGAGTGTTTCCTCTCATTTCCGGGTGTCTGAGTTTCTAGTTTGCAGGGACGAGGGTCTCAGCCTACCCGGCATGATCGAAAACCATACTGAACCCAAGGTTAAACTGGAAAACGGACGAATTCGTACTGTCAGCCCTCGATTACGCACAGAGGGCTGCTGTACATTGCCCCGGCACTAGTGTCCTAGCCACGCGCTCCTCTTTCGTCTCCGACCGAAACGCAGTCACACTAAATGAAACAGACCTGAAGGTGCCCAGGGAAGCAGAGCACTCGGGGGAAGTGAGGACCGAGCGGGGCCTGGAGCGGCTCGAGCCCGAGGGGACGGGGTAAGGAATGCCGGGGCGGGACGCCGCCGGTCCAGTGACGCGTCTCTCCGCACCAGCCACCGCAGCGGAGGGTGGTCCCGCCACTGCCCGCGCCCCACCCGGCCAAAGCCAGTCACTCACCCCGACGACGGGCTCCGTGAGGCCGCCCCCAGGGCCGCCGAGTTTCGATTCTCCAATGTGTGGAAACGGACGGAAAACAAACCGGGTCGCCAAGGGGTCACCATGGGATTTCCGGTTTCCTCGAAGACACTGCCGCTTCCCCAGCGAAGACAGCCGCTCCGGGGGCGCCGCGGAGGGACTCCCATTTCTCTCGCTTCGGCGGCGGTCGACTGGGGCCTCGGAGGTTCTGGAAGGAGGCGCGGGCCGAGGGC